GAAGGAAGGAGGGCGGGAGGGGAGACACTTCGGCGTTTTATGAGGCGGAGCTCGGTAATGACCGAAACACGCGGATTCTATTGTCGGACACGGCCGGCGCAACAATGAACGGGGGAAAAACGTCCGAGCGGTATCGTGAAAGCTAGATGTTTCACGGGACGTAAAGCGCCCTGAAAATGGACCGTAACTCGCGCGAAGTAACGAAGAGACAGACCGATCATCGTGATGGCGAGAGTTGGATTCCTCGCGTCGTTGCGTTTTATCGCTCGCGAGCGCACGTCGCATAGTCGTGCACTATACATGGAGATGCGGGATAAACTTGAAATTTCGGAATTTCCTGATATGCTTCATGATCTCATTTTTGTTTCTTCTTGAAATTTTATGCTCACATGGAGAATAATATTAAGACATCTAACATATATAGAAGAAAAAGATGATTGTGCTGCGAAGAAAAGTTATTGTTATTATCCCGGAGGAACGAGAACGATGGAAGTGAAAGAGAAGAAAAATGAAATTAAGCGAACATGCTGTGAAATATCCAAGTCTTACGACAGCCACATTAGCGAAGCTGATCCCAGCGAAACTCCGCGCAAAAATGATGATGACTCGCCTACGTGGCATTCCCGATCTTTCCTTTTGCTGACCTTCTCGCTTGTTCAAGACAGGAGTTCGTTTTGGCACGTGTCCCGATTAAGATCGCGCCGCTAATTGCGTCCTGGCCGCATCAGCAGCCTGTGTGGCAGCGGCTATTTCGGTGTGCGTTTGAATGATGCGCGCGCCGCGACTCTCTTTATACCCGCTCGTCAGCGAGCATAATTTACGCGATTATTAATGAATTACTGAATTTATAGTCCCTCTGGAATTTATAGGCCATCTGTCACATACACGAGCCACCTGTTTTTCCAACTTCGGCTCAGCTAATAATACATTAATCTGCAAACAGTGATACCGCTAACAAGCGCTATTCTGGTTCGTGTCTCATAGCAATTACTGCTGCTACATGTGATGCTAGCTTTCGTTATCTTGTTCAATCAACTGCCGCGTTTTGTTGCGTAATTATTCCCCCGATTTTGTTCGATGAGTATCATGTGATGTTAAGATAGATTGTGCTTTGTAAAATATGCTCGTCACAAATACAAAAAGCTTGTATAGTAAGAAATAAGATGTTAATTTTAATATTTTTCATACGTCCCAGAAAGCGAGTTGCACAGAACTCTTTTGGATTTTACATCGCCATTCATCCGAATTGCCTTCGGAACGGGATCTGTCGGTGGGAGACGCGCGAGCGTCGGATAAATAATTGTAATTTTAAATTGACTACCGAGAGAGACACGAGAGAAGAGAGAAACAGAGAGGAAGGCGGAGAATCGCAGTGTTGAACCCTATACATAATTCATCGAGACGCATTTCGACGAGCGAGTTCTCACGTAGGACGAATCTCGTCCGCGCGACATCGCAGCCTACAAATTCTCCCGGTCTATAAAACGTCTTATCTCTCTCTCTTGATGCCGATAACCGGAGCACGCGCGGTGAATCAAGCGGCACGCAGGTGAGAAGCTGCGTCGGCAACGCGATTCCGGTCGCGGAAAATACGCTCTTATTAAGATACCCCATCGTTGATTATCGCGCGCTGCGCTTTTTAAGCGCATACTGACTACGTTAATTATACCGCTTTGGTCAGAATAAGACCGCCGCCGCCGACTTTGGTCGTTACAACCGCAGCAAGAGGGAGAGAGAGGAGAGTATATGCGCATCGTCGTTTGATATTAGCGCGCCTTGATTTAGCGCGTCGAGTCTGATTGCATAAGCCGTATTAATGTAACCCTAATGACGCCAGCAGTTACTAACAAGCCGACGATTTGCGGCGTTTAATCGCGCCGGTAGATTCCCTCGAGGGGAAAATTGTGCCGTACACGGTCACGGTATTAGCAGATTCGCGAAAGTAAGAGCGATTACGTTACGTAGCGTGTACGTTACCGCCGCGGTATAAATAAAGAATAAAATATGAAAGATAAAGAGCAAACGGTGCGTGGAACTAACAGAGAAAATAAGATGAAAGCGATGGAGCGCGATAACCGTGTCTAAAAATACGTGCGTATTCTTCGATACACATACACACCTCGCGCACACAACGCGTAATTTATTCCGGGTCGAGCGATCCGACATCCGCCCTCTTTTCTCGCTCGACAATACGGCCGAGATGATTTTGCAGTTCTGCAGAATCGTGTTCGCGCGACCGATAGCGCGCTCTGCGCTCGGGAGCCTCGAGAGACCTTCGGCGGCTGTGGAACGATTTGAAATTTACAATTCGCAACTCCGACCGCCCGCCTACGCCGCTTCACGCCTGAGAAATATTCGTTCGCGTAACTAAGGATAAGAGAGAGAGAGAGAGAGAGAGAGCGGGAAAAATCGCGCCGCCAGCGGCGGACACGTTCAGCGCGCACGCGGCGAGATCCCGCGGATTATTGGCGGGAAGTCCCAATTAGTAGCGGTATTAACGTCGCGGCATGAAAACAGAGGACCCGAAAAGAAATGAGAGAAAACAGAGGAGAATCGCGCTAGCAGGCTTATTCGCATGTCGCACAAACAACGCTCCTCAAACTACAGGAGTTTGGAAACTCTGCGCCATCCAGCGTATTCGCCAGATAATGCGGCAACTGACTACCAACTAACTATTTCCTAAAAAAGGGAATAATTATTCACGACACTGACGTCGCTCGATGGGCTTCTTGCATCAACAGTCACGTTTCTAACAATATTCTTATATCATATCAACGGTGAAGTTACCATCATTTCCCTCCTCGCGTTTCCCCACACATACGCCTTTTTATTTACACGACTGCTTCAAGCATAGCAGCCTTCAGCATGCACCAATCTATATAGTCCGAGTGATTGAATTCGCTATATCTCTCTCCCGTTCTCCCTTCTTCTTTAGGCGTGTCCTCCGGGATCGCGAATTCGTGCGTAAGCGCGACGTGCGTGAACGGCCGGGGGTTTCCGCGACTGATAGCAGTATCTGACAGGTGCATCAACGCGTCGTTTCGCCGCCGGTTACGGCGGTCCGCGGTTAAACGAAGCGTATCATTCGCGGACGGGGAAGAGAAGTAGGTGGCATCCCGGCGCACACAGCGCAGGAAGTTAATTAGCATCTCGGACGGGCCGCCGAGAGAGAGAGAGAGTGCCTCGGGTGGAACGATGACTTAAATAAAGCAGAAACTCGCCGAACGACGCAACATATCTCGCGCGTATCTGCCTGCGTATCCGAGGAGGAGGGTCGTTCATGACGCACGCCGCGAAACGAACGCTCATTGCCTACGAATAGTCGAACCCCCAGTCAATCCTCATTACTGACAAAATTCATCACACTTCCCCATCGCTTTCTCCCATCAGCGGAGAGAGAAATATAAGGAGAACCGTTCTCTGTGAGGCTTTTAATCTTCGCGTCGGGAAACGGCGTTTCCCGTTCCTCGACGTCGCCGAGTATTTTCGCATATGTCGAGTGTGTATGTGTGCGTATGCACGCGTGTAATTAGCAAAGTAAAAAAATTACGATTCACGGATCACTACTGCTGGGGAGAAGAGGAGGGATATAAGTTACGGAGGTGCTGGGATCGGTCGTTTCAGCGTTAAGCCGACTCTCCTACACGCGAGCGACCGCTTAATCCATCTGCCTTAACGGGATTCCGCGCGGCCGTAGATTACGCGACCGGTAGGAAGCTCGGTTATCAACGAGCGATGACGAGAAAGAGAGAGCGACGCGTCTCGCCGATCCCGGCCGGCGCACGCTGTGAATGATCGCGATTTATGAGATTCCTCGCGATGGTAGCGGCAAGATCCGAGAACCAACCCGGGGTCTCCGATCTCCGAGAACGGGAGAGAGAAAGAGAGCGGAATTCGCCGGCCGGACGGTCGATCGTTAAAGGTATCGCCACAACTGCTTGCTAGATTTAGGATCACTATCAGCCCGACGTTGGACGATTCGTGTTCGCGAAACAATGCGCGCTCGTAAACGCGACCATAAATTAAAATTAGCTCAAGCGAATTGCGCGAGTGGCAACGGTAGTGTCCCGTCGTGGCCGGAGGATGCTTCAGCCTCATAAATCTCAAGCAACGTCCTGAACTCATAGCTCCTGTCTAACCGGCTAAGTGTGACGTGCTTTAAGAAAGCCGAGATAAATATCGCGAGTTTGCGTTGGAACGAAACTAAGTGCCGCTCATTACTCTTTGCCTGCCATGGACGATGGACGGCTGATGCGCGATTCTTCGGTTGTTTTCTTTCTCCTTTCCCCGTTAAAGATTCAATTATCTCCTCGGTATTGTCGAATTCGTTTAATCTGTATGTCGAAAACTCCTTCAATTCGATGATATTAACCCTTTCGCTACTGAGACTGATTATAGTCGCTCGCGAAACGCATCCCGGGTATTAAGAACGACCTTACTCGCTTTACCCAAAGCACAATTGCACGTAAAAATGAGATTTTACCTGTGCCGATGCGCTATATTAGAGATGATACGACAAAAATACCGCGCGTGACTTTGTTTACGCCACTAAATCTCGTTCGGGCGCTCATACTGTACGGTCACTTTTCGAGACCCGTTACTTAGCCGAGACTCGAACCCTAGTTGTTATTCCGCAGTAGTGTAGTTTCAGTCTCCGCTACGAGCCGCCACCTTACTGAAAAACTGAGATCACAATACGGTCCAACTGCGAGTCGAGCAATATTTTATCTCCAAATTTCTCAAATTTCCTTTTCACCTAACATGATTCAACGGTGTGCCGAGAAATTCATTTTCCATTTTTAGATTAATAGTACGATTCACGTACGATCTTTTTTTTATTTTCAGGCAGGTGCGACTCAACGACGGAGTTCGACGTTCGAATAATACGGCTCGGTAGCACGTCGGAAACGGAGTCTGCATGATCGCTTTGTATCGCAGCGAAAGGGCAGACGATGTAACTTAACATAAACGAAAGCGTGCATATTGGCGGCGACACTTACCTTTGCAGCCGTCCGATGTCAAGCCGTAGTGGTCCGCGTCGCAGCGGTCGCAGCGGGAGCCGACGACGCCTGGGGCGCACCTGCACACGCCGCTCACGGGGTCGCAGAGTCCGCCGAGGGCACCCACGTCGCAGTCGCACTCACGGCAACCTGCGGTCACGTTCCCGTAGCCTTCGATGCACGAGGAGCAGTCACGACCGGCGAACAGAGAGCCGCAGGGACACTGACCGGTGACCCGGTCGCACTGAGCCGAATTGCTGCCGAGAGGCGAGCAGTCGCACGCTGCAACAGAAACAGTCATTCGGTTCTTATTGTGCCTCGTTACGGCTGAAGATCTGAGATGCAGCGTTGCCATCCAGTTTCTAACCAGAAGAAAACATTAAATGACTGCTTTAACTTTTTCGAGGTTTATCTTTGGATATAATTTAATATGGTAAATTCTTTTCACAGTACGGTTTGAAAGTTTATAAGGAGGAAAGAATGAGGGCATGAATGGTACAATATAAGTAAGCTTTCGGAGCAGTTTTATCAAGAGAGACAGTAAAAATATATATAGAACGTCCATTTTTTACAAACTTAACGACAGCTCGGGGAAAAAGTGATTATAGTGACTCATTTTGGACGATGGTGAATTTTTTAGGGACTTGTCAAGAAAAAGTGATAAAAAGTGATTTAAGTGGATGGCAGCGTTAAAAGAGACACGGCTCTCCCTTGCGTTCCGAAGACTCGATTGCGGTTACTTCTGCTCGCACTTACGCATGCAATTCAGCTTCAAGGGATCGCCGAAGTGCGCTTCCTTGCATCGATCGCATTTCCAGCCCTCGGTGTTCCCGCGACATTCCAGGCAGCGGCCCGTCTCTTGGTCGCAAGCACCGCCGTTGCAGAGACATCGCTGGCAAGTGCCACCGGGAGTCAAAGGATTACCATAAAATCCTACGTCACAACTTTTAACCAAGATCGAAATTAAAGCTCCCCAGTCGATTAATAAAATCTTAGCGATGATTAACGATATATAAAGATAATATATTTTTATCATATTAATCGTATATTAATTTTGCGACAGGAATTTTTTTCAAATCATAAGACTACGTAACCTCTGAGAGATTCAAGGTTTTGTAAAAAAAATTGTGCAATTGATTGACTATAGTTGTGATTGCTGTGATCTGATCGAAGCCGATTGTATTTTCGATTGCAATCTCGTTGTGTTCCGGAAACTTTATGCGTAAAAACCCCTTTACTCGACATAAAAATCATCTTATCCCCATTTCTTTTTAACTTTTTCTTAATTTTCTTATAACAATTGTCCGCACATTTATAATATATTACATCGTTTGTTGTTATTACAAAATTAATTATAAACAAAAAAACATAATAAAACAAATTCTATTCTAAAAATCGTTCATTTCTTTACCTTTCGCAATGATCGTCGGTGTATCCTTCCGGACACTGGGTGCACACGTATCCACTGTTAATATCGGTAGGATCGTCAAGTTGACAACTCGGACTAAAATTGTTAGATTCGATGAACAATGGACACGCACATTTCTTGCAGTCTTCGCTAGTGCCCTTCGTTGCGATACCATAATATCCCACAGCGCAACGATCACACTTCGGACCCACCGTATGATGTAAACACGTCTATAATAAATCAAGCGAAAAGTATGCCCCTTATTGATTTGATTTCTACGCGGAAAGACTATTTTTTTGTATTATTTTTTTGTATTATTCTAATTATTTCTAATTATATCATATTAAATGGAAGATTATACAAATTGTTGCATCAACTTTCTTTTAAGTTCCTTTAATAAACGATATCATCGTCGACGGTTCTTTAACCTATTTCGCCGGTGTCGAGGGCAATGCTATAAGCTGTAATCGGTAAAATCGTTCGTGACCATTCTAGATCCCACGATCTACGGACGTAGGATCGACACGAGTTCGGTTACTTCAAGTATTCTACTTTACCGACTACTGATCCGCCATAGCGCGGTGTTCGGATCTCCGATGGTTCGTGTCCACGTTAAAGCCAAATGTACACTGGTGCAATTCGTTCTCTCGCTTTTCGTACTGTAGACTATTTCTATGGCTAATTTTATACTCTGAAATAAATTAATCGAATCAACTAACCCCGCACTCGCCCATTAGGAGGTCGCAGGACCCGACGTGACCATTGCAATCGCATTTCACGCATATGTGATGATCCTGGAAATGGGTGCTATTGGTAATAACTTTCGCGTATCCCCAAGCACACTTCTCGCAGGACAATCCTTCGTATCCCTCGGGACACTCACACTTTTCGATTAGATTGTTGATCTTGCCGTCTGGTGACAATTCGGCTGTCGTCAATACGGCAAATTGAAGACTGCAAAAAGACAAGGAAACATTCAAAACACGTTTCTTTACACGTTGTCCTAAGTTTGAAATTTGCGTTTAAAAAAAATCTTTGCCAACTAGTTAATATTATTAAATAAATAAATAAATGAATGAATGATTAAATTATACTATTAAATTATACTATAAATTATACTATAGACAGCATTTGGAAATTTTTAAACAACATTTTTAAAGGAAGGTAAATGAAAAATGTTGAATAATTTAATTTAATTCAATCGACAAACTTTATAACCACAAATTCATTCAACGATCTCAAAGTTAAACAACGTACGTACTTTCCTTCGATTTGTTCCGAATGGTATTTCGCCCTGATCATCAGATGCTTCAGATCGGCGAGGACACGCATCATCTGGGCCTTCGTCACAGGATCGCCACGGTATTCGGTTCTTCTTAATCTCGTCGGAATGTCTCGGATCTCGTCCCGAACATGATACCAACCGTGTTCTCGCAGAGAGACCGAGACCTCCGCTTTAACGCTACTGTACTGCTCCTCACCATACGCGATGCGCAATCCATTGTTACTCTACAAAAGAAACAACAAATAACGCGTTATTACGTATCTACTTTTTGTCTTATAATTATAGTTAATGTTACAGTAGAATGTTATACTTACAATCAGGATGACGTTGGGCTCGATGGTCGGTTTGCCACTGCTGTCGCCTCGTATGACTGCCCACGTAACGGAGTACGTGAGATTGCTGCCGTACGAGGATATGAGATTCCCAATGTAGACCTGCGGCGCCAGCCAGAAAGGGCTGCTGTACTCGACCTCGTCTGCCGTCACGGTTAACCATCCGTCGTCCGTCATCAAAGTGGGAACGACTGCTCGGGACGCGTTCATGTCGGTCACCAACCAGTTCTCCAGCGTGGAAACCTGGAGAAAAAACAGGCAAATCGCGCGGTTCGCCAGCCGTTACCTCGACGGGGAAGCGTTTCTATTCTATTTCACCATACGCGCGATGGGGAACGCGGTATGTTTCGCACGATGTATGGCGAATTTCTACGAATACTATTTTCTAGAGTGTTTCACTTCACTTAATCTCGATAATCAGGATGTTTATAATACAATCAAAATAACACACGTTGCACGCACCAACGCAACTAGCGAGAAGTAAGTTACACGGCATGCACGATTGCAAGCGGGATTGCACACTCGCTGTGCACTTCTGCGAAGCTCTCAGGCCCTAAGGAGCGACTTCTGGAGAGGCGAAGCGAAGTAAGCACGAAACCGGCAGAACGGGAGATAATGCTGCTGACGACTCGAGCAGTCGCTCGAGGGGCCGAGCTTTTAAGCCTTTCGGTTTCGCGGTCGGATTCTCGAAACGGGTCATATATGGTAATGTTTATGAGCACGAGTCGATGATATGCGACTATGATATAATAATATACCATGATATTATGTGATTCTCGAGTAAATTACGACCAATAACAACATTTAGAAACAAGTACGATAAATACCCTATGATAATATGATAATCCTCAAATAAATTGTATCAACAATCAAATTCGGAGATGAGTGTGATAAATAATAATAAACAAAATATACGACAATACGACAAGATTCTCGATTTCTCGGAAATTGCGGGATATATTAACACATTGACAGCAGGCCCCGCGAAAACGCGGGTTTCTGAGTCTGTCGCTTGAGCGCCAGCCCCGCGAAAGCGCGGATTTCCGAGTCTGTCGTTTGAGTAGCTGCGACAGTAAAAAGAAGCGAGAGTAACTTTATGTGTGCTGAATGCTTAGTACCTTTACATCTTGGACAATGTTTCGAGAAATACCACACTTGCCTTAAATATTAAAACTTTTATTTTCTGTTTACGTTATACATATGTAATAATCCACCATGAAATGAGAAACGGTATTTTTTTATAATTATAAATAAAAAATTTCAACTTTGTTTATATTTTTAATTACCGTTAAATTGTATGTGACGAATATGCAAATAAAATGTACTATTTTACGAAAATATATAATGTTTTAAATATTTTTTTGGCTATTCAATGATCAGAAACAAGCGAATAAGGCCGGCGCTCAGGCTTTAAATGTCTCTTAGGTCGCCGGCTGTCAATGTGTTAAACGGAAAGAGAAAATGAGCATCCTCACCATATTGTACGACAATCTGGCGCTGGTACAGCGGTCGGTCCTGCCGAAACAGTAGCAGGGCGAGCAACCATCAATGTTACTCTTCGTGAGCGCAAAGTAGCCGGGTTTGCAGCGGTCACAAAATTCCCCGGCAACGTTAGTCTTGCAGAGACAGTCACCCTCACAGTCGTCGGAAGGCAAGATCCCACGAGAATCGCACGGACACGGCATACAGTCGGGAAACTGTTGATAGCCCGCCGCGCATTGGTTGCACATGTAGCCCGAATAGCCCGGCTTGCATTCGCAAGCACCTGCTACCTGGAAAGTACGGGCGATGTTTATAGATCGATTAGGATCCCATCGTGAGAACGTCGTCGCCGTCGATCGACCCGCGTAAATCAAGTTTGCGCAAGCGACTATCAGCTAATAATCCCTTGAAATTGAGTGAAAGCAGGATGATACTACAATCGTCGTGCCGCGAGAGAGCAAACGATAGCTCGAAGCGTTTCAGAACGGAACACGTCGCAGGTGGAAGCGAGTTCCCATGTGAGCGGTTTGTTTAAAAAGAATCATACAAAATATATAGAATATGTAGAAAATACATAAAGAATAATAGAATCTCTTCATGTATAATATATAAGAACAAGTTTTACTTTCGTATAAGATTATGTATTCTTGATTACATATGGAAATATGAATCTTTTCAGTTGATATTAATTGTTTTTCTATATGCTGTTTTCCATATCCTGTTCGACTATACTTCACCCACAGGAAGCTTTTACCTTTCCCACAGAGGTGTACGAGTCATCAGGAGTGCAGTAACCAGTGCTGCCGTGCGAGTCGCAGTTGCAAGGTACGCACGGCTCCGGTGCATCGGGTGCGACACCGTTCGGTCTGTAGTAGCCGACCTCACATGTCTCGCAGTTGATCCCAGTCGTGTGCTTCTGCAAAAGATTTTGCAAATTGCGAACTATTTCATTTATCATGTTGAAAATATAATATTTTCTGAAAAGTACCCTTAAACTGTAATCTCAATTCGAAAAGTCTTATCCAAAATGAGGAGATCACACACACTGTTTCAATAACTCAAGTATTACACGGAGGAAGAAACAAAACTTCGTTAGTGTAACTGAATTTTCCGTTGCCCGACGACCAAATGAAAACTCAATTACGAGAAAGATTTCTTATATTAGAAAAAAAGTACTTACATATTTATTTGCGGGATATAAGGTTTATTTCACACAGATATCGTTTATTTCTGCGGAATAAGATTTAATTCGCACACAGAAACACCCCATAAATAAATTTTCAAGCACTATTTACTCAATGTACAAGCGAGTTTTCGTCCGGTCTCCAGGGTGACGAAAAGTTCAATTACGCCAACGGAATTGTTTTTTTCTATGCAAAACGACAGGATCATGCCCGTGACGAATACGCCAGTTGTTCGTTCTTACCGTGCAATTGACGCACACGCCGCCGCCTCGGTATTCCCCGTGGATATCCATGGACATTCCCCTCCTGTCGACTTCCTGGTCGTATCTGCAGGACGTGGCATGCCCGTTGCAGTTGCACACCTCGCAGCGAAAGCCCTTGTCGGCGGTGCCGGGCCTCCACGGGATCTGATTGTACATGGGGCAGCATTTTTCGCATCTTTCGCCGCACGTGTGGCGCTCGCACTCGCATTCCTGATGCTGAGGGATAACGCGAAATGCGCTTATCAGATTCTCGCCGGGGCGAAGTAGCCGCGTTCTCGAACGTACGCGCGCACCTATGCGTCCGCTGCGAATACGCGTCATCTATCACAGACGGAGGAAATAACGTGAAGAAAAATTACGCGTGCTTTGGTTCGTTCGTTCGTTCGCGTTCGTTCGCTGTTTCGCGCGTGTGGAGCGAATCGGGCAGACAAACGAACGAGCGAAATTCGTTGCCGATCGCTCGCAATCAACGGCTGAGGGATAAATAATCCGAAGATAATCGGATGAAACGCGCGAGATGAATCGTCGATTGTGCAATCGATGCATTCGGTAATATTAGACGTTCATCCGGATGTTGCTGCAACGCAGCGGGGTCGTAAAGACGGCGCTTCATAGTTCGCGTTCCCCTCCTCGAGTGTGTAAACGATACGCGCGTGTAACTATTGCGGATAACTATATCGCCGTGCATAAAGCGGAGTTTCTCAATGCTCACGGGCGCGGTTCGTTTTACGAGTGCGTCCGCTAACTTGCCTCACGACTAATAACTACCACTTCCGTCTTAAATAAAGTATCGAACGGACAAATGGACGGGATATTAAAACTACAACGTAGACGAGAGGCAGCGTATTTGGAAGAACTGCTTGATTCATCGCTACCTTGTCGAGTTTTCCCAACGACAAAATTAACTGACTTACAACGCAACGAATGGCCGCTTGCAAAATTAATAACATCTTGCGGGTAATTTTTACGAAAATCATAAAATACGTGGTGTAACAAAGTAACCTTTGTAAGACGCGGAAGAGCGTAGAGGTTAAACCCGCGACGACGCGTGTGGTCTTATCGCGAAGAGGGCACTCGATCGTGATATCTCGGCGTCGACGTGCCCGATATTATTTACTGCCGGTGGTACAATGACCACCCCCCGTGCTCGTGCAGGACCGTGATCGGTAATCAGGCCAGCTTTCTGCAATTATTTCGGGCCACATACCGACGTTTAACGAGCCCGAATTGTATTTCATCCGAAGCCATAATGTCCCGAGACCCCGTTACTTACTCTCGAGTTGAGAGAGGTGACCGGCATGTGGCGCGGTCGAAAAAAATGAAAAGCCGCGCTTCCGCACGCTGTGCGCCACGAAACGGTCGGCCTTAATTTTGACGACGGTCTCTTTGATCCGCGGGCTCGGTATTTTCCTCCGTCTCCAAAGAGAAAAATGTTATCCGCGGCACCGACGGGTCCGTGAGTTATATCAATTTTACGAAACACGAGATCCGTGGATATCGAATGCTTAAATATTTACCAAATTAGGCACGCGCCTTTATACATCCGTTCGAGATCGCTTGAAGCCTTAGGCGAAGATTGCTTTCTTCTAATTCGTATGCTCGAATGTACCCGAGAAAATGGAAGTCGTTAATAAAAGAAAGATACCCCAAAGACTGCAAGATTAATATACGCGGACATGGGAATAGTTTAGCTGTCAAAAATGGTGAATAGGTTTCATTCTTGAAAAAGTAAAAAAAAGTAACGAATCAGCTTTAAGAAAGATGAGTAAAATATTTTTTCTCAAATAATTTGCACGTTACAATTAGTTTACCTATTATATCATTTCTCTAAGAAGTGAAAAATATTAATTTTCGAAAAGCTTCTATATCTGTATATTTTCCGCAGGAAAATTGATGCCAGTGCGGAGATAAGTTTTAACGAAGCTACGAGATTTGTGTCATATTAATAAACCGTAGCAAGGCTGAATCTTCTGCAAACCTGAAGAGAAGATTAACGTATCTCCCTGATGTAGAAAAAGAATGATAAGAAACAAGATTGAGTAAATTGCGAACAATTGGGGGTACGCTCGAACGATACGACGAGGTGGGCGAAAGTGACGGTGATCGCGAAAGCGACATGAAGTATCCGTAACATTGCGCACTGATAACGACACAAAGGCCTGCTCTGTGTTCTCATTCATAGAGAGAACCACGCGAGATCGCCCGGACTTCATCCCCCGCGTGCGATTTTTGCAACTCGCTGTATCTGTCGTTGCACTCTCGTGCAATTCCCGCTTCGTCGATTCATAACGACGAGCGTGCCCTGAATGAACGCGTACGCGGACTCGTATCGGACACCGAGCGTCGTGAAAACACCGCGAGCAAGATACCGGACGCAAATGCAAAGATCAATGTCCATTCTACGGCGGTGTAACGAGAGACGCACCGCGGACGTGGCGTTGCGTCACGAATGACACGATTAATGTGCCTTTGTCACGAAAATATTCCACCATCTGCTTTACATGGTATAACAAGCGATAATCCTGATATGGTGATAATGGAACGTGAGAGAGAGAGAGAGAGAGAGAGCTTGGCGCGAAAGGTTTTCTTCTTTTAAATTTGCACTTCATCCGCGTTTTAAAGCGATCGTAATCGCGACACGAAGAATCCCCACGATAAAACACATAGATGTCGCAATTACAAGCGTCCGCGTTGGTAATCGTTAAGGAACACGGTGAACTATTATTGTTCGCCGAAGCCGAGCGCGCATAGAGCACGACCGGTGCGGCGAATGTCCTTTCTCGGATCGTAACGGTGCGTTGTGAGATTCGTATCCTAACAAAATAACTCAGGAAGGTGAAACACGCCAAGCGTATAAAAGTCTTTAAATATAACGCGAGTAATATTTCTATGAAATAAGTAGCTGAAAAATTTGCTTTTCAATTTAGGCCACACACGGGCGCGCGCGCGCGCGTCTAGAGAGAGAAACAGATATATTATATTATATATATTCTGTTTATTTTATTTAAACTTAGAATTAAAAATTAAAAATTTTTAACCACGCTACTACACAATGCTTGTGTAATTTCTGCAGTTGCGAGCTGCGGGAAAGAGAGAAAGAGAAAGGGAGAGATCCCGCGAGGAAATATACCGCGGCACGAGAGTGATTAATCACCCGCGCCGGGACTATTGTCTTACCGCTCACGGCGTTGTACCGTTTGAGAAGGACTGCAGCACCGCGCTCGTAATTAAACGTGAATCACCCCTGCGAGGATACACGTGGCCGCGTGTTTGTGCATTTTCATCCCGTCCGTGCTGACTGTCGTCGTAAATTTAGTGCTCGCGCTATTGACCCGCATTCGTGGTACGCGTTTAACGTTTCACAGACGACCCCAGATTTCGCGTTCGCGACTATACAATACGTCTGCCTAGCTAGTCCCATTTTATTTCTATTTATTTGTTTCGCTGAATATCTTGTTATTTGTGAGTGAGTATGATGACCTGTCTGTCGTGTCTTCTTTCGTTAAATATTTAAGAAATCGTTCGTTTCTTAAATATAAACAAATTTTTTCAACCAATATTATATCGCTCCGACATGAATATTTATTTTTACTTGCCTATCCTTTGTTTTTTTTTTATTAATATTATATTTATTCTTTTGTTTTCTCCCGAATGGAGGGAAAAATGCATACGTTTGAAAGAGGAGAGGGGTGGTGCTAGTTAGGCAGACGTCTGTATGACAATTGCAGTTGCGAGAAATTTATTATGACGAGCGAGACGCTCTCGGACGCAAATGCCAACTTTAATAGCGCGGCTCGTAACGGCCGCGGAACGAACGGCGTAATTCGCGTCGGCCTTTGTTACGCGAACGGTACAATTCTCACGATTCTAACCGTGATTCATCGCCGTCCGCCTTCAATCCCGAGATTCCCGCGAGCCACGGACATCGTACCGTAGAAACCGCAACATTGAAAGTGGCGAAAAGAGAAGAAGAGAAAAAACCAACGGCGCCACCGAAAGCACCCACTACCACTCGTGCGCGGTGGAACCTTAATCCCCGACGGTTCTGCGGCTTTGTAGCAGGCAACGACTCGAGAAGCGGCCGATCCCCGCCATTAGCGGTGTCGGCGGACAAAGGCCTGACAAGTTTACGGCACTTTCGACGGATTTATTTCACCGAGAGCGCGCCGAATCCGGGTGTCCGCTTCCGAGAGCGCGACCGATTTCGGAAATCGTGCGATCGCGAGCCGCTCTCGCAAATTTTCCTTCGCGAGAAATCGGCGTTTCACAGAACGAATCTGAAAACAACACGAGCGCGAGTGTAATTTTAATCGATTAATCGTATAATTTCAATCGAATTGATCTTAATTCGTTCGAGTTTCAGACGGACTCGCAGAGAGCGGCTCGCGTCGTCTCGCCTCGCGAGTTCATCAAGTCGGTCAAATCGTATAGTTTTTCCATCGGGAAACGCAGTGAACAGGGTCTGTTTGCACTTACCCCGTGATGCACGCTGTGCCGACATCGCGCCGCGTGTCCGGAACACGGGCACCGGCCCCCGATGTTGATTTCCTTTATAGAGTAAAAGGCCTGCCTTTTGTCGGCGGACGACTCGACGCTGCGCTGAAGCCCCTGAAGACGCAGTCGGACGTATCTCGCCTGGGTGAATTCCAAGAGAGTCGAGCTGTGACTAAGAGCCCCGGGCCGACCGCTCACCAAATACGTGTGGATCTTTCAGGTAAACAATTAAAATTCCGGTTAGTCTCCCGCCAGATGGTATGGGAATAACAGTCGCGTCGCGGGGAATGCGAGGACATTCCAATGCGGAAACAAAAATCTCGGCTCGTGCAATCGAACAGGGAGCAGACGAGAAGAAATCGGTGGCGAGATACGATATCTCTGCCACCGCGGCCGGGAATATTCGTCTGAGTAGAACAATGTGTGAAAACGACGGACAATGAGAGCCAAACTGCAGATATAGTTTGAGTATATTTATATACAAGTATAGAATGTCGCGAAGAATCATGTGGCTCGAGAAACTGATCCTCTCTCATTTCTGTCCGCATTTATTCGTGTCGAAAAAATGTGCCCGCCTCCTCCAAAGACGTATATTTCCGTCGAAACTATGGCAACTTCTCGTCGTGCTGTTAAAAGAAGAGGAGCAACGAGTTAAACCACGGAAGAAATGATTAAATGAATCACGTGAACAGCGATGAAATCGACAGCGAAGATCGGCCACGACGCCCGTGATTGCGCGTCGGTTAAACAAAATCGGCGACGGTCAATTAGCGTCGGCGGGCGAGAGCCGTTAAATTCAAGAGAGACGCCGACGGAGAAGTAAATCAGCCGCGAATGGCGCCGCGTGTTGAGCAGGGAGCGGCGAGTTCCGTAAATGGAGGGTGCGCGCGCGGTGCCTAATAAGGGACAATCGCTTGTATTTAGGATACCTCACGATCCCACGTCGATTGCCGAGCTTGCTTTTTAATTATTCCTACGTGACTCCGGTATCGTCGACGTTCCGTCGATATGTATCTCCAAGTAAGAACTGCAGGAGCGCCACGTCGAGGGGGGTTCAGCGGGTTCAGGTACTTCGGAGACAGAGCTATAGCGACCGTTTGGAAACTGCGGTTGCAAGGCTGAAGGAGAGACTGGAGGAGAAGGGAGAAACGGATGGTAAGGAATCAATGGTACAAAAACGGCGATCCCTACATTCCGGCCATGTACGGCGCTACATGGCCGTATAAGGGAGTATCGTGTACGCACCTTCGCTATAGAGGGGAGGGGGAGGCTCGGTAGTTTTACGCTTCTGCACGCGAGCCGGCCACATCGGGGAGGAAGAAGGAATTGGCGGAAGGAGGATCGCGATGGGACTCGTCGTCCCGGAGACGTGAACGAACCGAGAGACATCCTCGGAGGAGGAGAAGAAAGAGGAGGACGAGGAAAACAACTTGACATAGCCCGAACACTCTCACGCGGCAAAACGCGGCGTTAATGCGATTATGTATAATTACGTCTCGCGCGGATGTAATTGCACGGCACGAAAAAAGGTGAAAACGTGGGATACACTGTAGCAGAGGCAAAAAAACAGCATTCACCGGAAGAGAGCGCGCACAGCCCGGCGTAGTCCTGCCGGGGCGAAATTTTGCGCGCCTGCTAATCATCCAATCCGCGTAATTGCACAGCGCGCGACCGCGCATATAAAACCGACGGGGAATTAACGACGCCGGGCGCGCTCGCGAGGATTTTCGCAAGGGTTATTGATAATGACACGCTTAGTCGCGTTCCTAGCGGAACGGGCGCCGGCAAAAATTCATCGGCGAGCGCGTGAACGCTCCTCTTTGCATCACGAGGCTCATTAACATAACGCCCCGCTAGTGTCCGCTTGACCCCGTCTACAGAATTTCCCGGGAGGAACAGCGAGATCAAACGAAAATATTTACCGCCCGGCAATCGTGTAACATCTTCTCTGGAAGCGGTAAAGAACGAAAAGTTTCACATTCCCAAGTAGAAGATAACTGCAGGCGGGATACTGGCTTAGCATCGATTTTTAATGAACAGCAGTACTAAATGCCAATACTGATCTGATATTGGTGGGATACTGGAATGATAGCAATCTGTCAAAATTCTAAAGGGCACCGTGACTATATTGTGACTACCCTAAATAATAAATTTTGTATCAAAATCGGTCCAATGAAATTTTGTGTTACTTTAACATGGGAGGGATGTATTAAAAATATTGATATATTTTTGAATGTTGACAAGGTGAATGTGTTAATTTAATATTATATTTGTGTATTTTTTAATACATTCCCCATGAGTAACACAAAGTTTCAGTTGATTGTTTTTAACATAAAATTATTTACTGTGCAGTATTGCGAAAATATCAAAAATAATTGATTCCTAATACTGAGACAGTACCGAGAGAGAGGAAGAGATTCCCAGTAATGATTGTTATTACTCTATACAATTGTTAACTCTCTAACGGCAAAGTGGATTTCTTACATACTCAAGAAAATGGGGCTGGATACGACCCCATGCTCTTTTGTTCATTTTTCATGTAATCAATGTATAAAATGAATAAAAGAAGTAGATAATAACATAAAATATTTCTTAAGGAGAGAAACAGCGCGTGCACGCCGTAAAATAAACGAAGCCGTGGGATCAATCTGATCGTTAGGGGCCCATTTTACCGTTAGAGGGTTAATACCACGACCATACTGTGGAAGGATCAGAATTATGGCTGGATGCTTGTTTATGTCTGCATATATCGACTTTTAATGTCATATGAGGTGAAAACCGTTGGCAACAAAGCGGATTCAACTGGGATTGAATCCCGCTTGCTAGGCAACTGCTCTTACCTTGAACTACTTAGTCTCCACGTTAATATATAACATTTTTTGTAACGTAACAACATGTAAAATTTCCCGCTTTTCTATTTAAGGTACTGTGTGGTATCGTGAAATTCATATTTCGGTATTGAATTGGTATTTCGCTGGTCTCCAGTACCGGCAGAATGTATACGATTTCTACATAAATTTTCACTGTTCAAAAAGTTATATGGTCGTTAAAGCCGTCGAGTTCACATGAAACTTCTCACGTAGCCGCCCTCAGGAAAAAGTTACGTGATCGCTACTTTGAACGATAGAAAAATTCGAAGAAGCAATTACTAGATAGAATCAAGATGGAGACAAGTACCTAATTATAAGTGGGAACGATGACGATGACGATTTCACAGTGCAAGATTACTCACTCTGCTCGTTTTCTTTTCATTTTCTTTAAGGTCGGTTTAATTACATGTCGGTGCTTTAATGACTCCATCTGAAATCCCATAGAAAAAAAAAAAAGAAAAAGAGGAGGAGGAAACTGAAGTTAGTCGGCCGCATGTTTTCGAACATTTTCACGGGGCGAAAGAAGAGTACTCACCTCGCCGTTTTCCATAGGAGTCTGCTTGGAATGTTGGCTGGTGCATATGATATCGTCGTCGTTGATGAAAATGGCTTTGCCCAGGGCGGGCGACGTCGAATATCTCAGCCAGCATTCCTCGTCGCTCGGCGCGTAATACTGCCAGGGAAGGAAATTTTCACCGTCCAAGGACTTCTCAAGGATCCAGGCGGCAGGTCTCGGCGAGTTCGCAGCCTTCACTATTACGTACTCCACTTGGTAGACCTGCGAACATATGTAGACAACAGTCACAAACGAAATTATCCTAAATAGCTTGTTATCTATAGGTGGGAGGTTGACTAGCTGCAATTCCCCTCCCCTGATAATAATTCTGCTTTCTTCCGTAACAGAGAGCAACATTTTTGCGTTTCATTTCTGAAGAGTGCTGTTACGACGCGCCGAGATGAAAATCGCGAGGTCAATGATGGGGATTCGCAGATCTCCCGCGGCTCGTTGGGAAACCCTGCCGAGACGGGGGGATCCCGCGACGATTAATTAATTTCGAGCAACCGCAGATCTACCGCGGAACAACTGCTACCTGGCGGCTGTTCCGTCCCGTAGCGCCGACCAATAGTGGGGCACAATATCGCCGTAATGCACCGCTTTGTCAGTCTCTCCTTCTCCATTTCATACCTCGGCGGATCGTCCTGGAAAAAAGATCGGACCCGCTCCGGGGGCGGATGTTGAAATCTTTGTTAGGCGTGTGCATGTGTCTATGTGCAAACGACAATGGGGACTTTTATGTGCGAACCGGCCGAACGACGAGGGTCGGCCATTGCTTCTCGTCGGTCACCTTCTTCCACGCGTTTCGTTACACTTTCATTATCCGGGCGTTCATACGTGGATCGACAGTCGAATATTCCATCTGTGAAGTGCACTTAGGATAAAAGAGCGCATTATCGAGGTTGAAAGAACATATTCGGATTGAATTGAGTTCTATCGGTAACAGGGTCAGCCTCGGTAATGAGAACTTTTACTCCGCGAGAGACATGGAGGCTCCGCCGATGACGGACGTAAATGCGAATTTTAAAATACGACAATCCGCTGTAGCAGATGGAGGCCGCGTAGCAAATCGTAAATGCAACGAGCGAGCGAACAAGCGTTGGCGAGTTATTCCATTCTCGTAGGCGAGCGTTGCATTACAGGATGCTCCGCTGAGTGCCGGCCACGTGAATGATACCGCGCGCGTATATCGCAAGCTATTATCTCTACGTAACGCATAACGTTACGCGGTACTTTAGATAAGTACCTCGGATAAGTACCTTCGCGTGCTCTCGCACGGCACGCTTTTGTCACGAATTCATTGCTGTACACGTCGTTGCGCATTTTTGATTGCGGATACTATTCCTGTGGACTGTCCCGAGTTTCGTCCCTGAATTGAACCTTTAATTCTAGAACACACACAAGTCCACACACAAGTCCACCAGAATACTAAAGATGCATAAATAAGACTTGTCCGGAATATTCTGTATGCGATACTTATTTTGAAAAAATTATAGATTATTTATATATTATATTTTAATATTTAAACGGATTATTTCCAAAACAATGCTGGTCTTCTCATAATTTCTTAATTCTTAGTCGTCGCGATTCCTAAAAAATAAAGACCTTTCGCTCATAGGTGCAGACTATTTTCAATTTCCCCGTAATAGACGAGAACACTGACTGAATTCCTTACTGACAAATACATGGAGATGCGAGATGGATACTTATTATTCGGAGATCACATTTTAGTGTGCATAAGTAACACCTGTCATCCGCGTGATCACTGCAGGATTAAAAGAGTCAAAGTACCATAAAAATGTTGATTCAGGATGCCAAAAGAAAAGCGAATTTCATGTGCGCGCTGTGCATGAGAGAAAGAGAGAGAGAGAAAGAGCAAGGAGTAGAACCTGTGTCTAAATTCGTCTATAATGCGCGCGCTTCTCACTCAGAGAGAAAGATGATTATTCTCTCGATTTATAGAAGGAACTTCCAATCGGCTAATTATAGCTATATAATCGGCTAAATATGCTAATATAAATATGATTGAAATTATATGAATATAGGATTAAAATTGAATTATCCACTCCTCATCTCTAATTTTCTTCATCATTTTTTCTTTCTTCTCTATTCCCGAAAAGTTTCGCGAGTCGCCACAGACGGGGGATGTGCAGTCGCACGCATCTCCGGGGCCCGCAACAGTCGCGGTTTAACAAGACGGGAGTCCTTCATCCTACCGTCGTGTCGGGCCGCGTCTTTGTCGTCGTCGTTGTTGTCGCTGTCGTTGTCCTCGTTGTATCGTCGTTACGCCGGCATTGTGAGACCGGACCGACGCCCACTTTCGGACCATAAAGACAGATCGCATGTCCGCGATACCGGCTGCGTTTCCTTCTAAGGACTTCGTCCGGAACGGCCGATTCGAGCCCGTTCCGAAGCCGACTTCAATTATCCGACCCTCGTAGACGACGACGCGTACGTATGCGAGCGCGGGACGACCGATCGCGGCTACCCTTTGGGCGTTAAAGGTTGCATTGTTGCACGTCGATGGGCAATCCTCGATTCGCACGGCTAATGCCTTTCTCCGCGGAGGAAAAGAGAGAGAAAAAGATCGCCCTGTACGTACGTATCGGATTTCTTCTATAAATCGAGAGAATAATCATCTTTCTCTCTGAAGCGCGCGCATTATAGACGAATTTAGACATAGGTTCTCCTCCTTGCTCTTTCTCTCACGCACAGCGCGCACGTGAAATTCGCTTTTTGTTTCTCCGACCTGATTATATTTACTTCTTTTAATTTTTTAAATTTAATTTATCCTCGTGTAATCCTATTCATCCCGTCTACTGGTGAATGGCGGCGTTGTGCCGACGCGATGGACAGCGTTCACGTGGATGCCCGTTCCGATCAGTCGGCTCGGCGCACGCACACACGCATACACGCATACGTGGTGTGCCGCGAGGGGAATGCATTTGCACATCAACATTGTTATGACAGGAGGAGCGAAGGAAAAGGGAAAGCGTTACGAGGCAGGTCTCTACTCGTGCGGTTGCTCGCCTTTTACCGGCTAAATATTTACGTTGGCCGCACATGTTCCGCTTCGGCTTCCAGTCGCCATCGGCATCGCGTGCCTCGTCATGGGGTAGGTCGTAAGTAAACCACGAACGCATTACTGGCTCAAGGTTAGCCCCCGCCTGCCTGTCTGCCTACCTTCTCGTCGGGTGCCTCAGGAGTGTTGCATATCCACACGGCACGGTGTGTACGAGAAACGCGGAGTTTATCGCCGGCACACGACAGAATTATCGACGGAGGGTGATGGGACGACCACGTGCTCGACTGACATACGAAACGAGCGTCGTAGGGCTGCCGTTAAAGGAGAATGAATGGGAACCAGAAGTCGGATCTGGAGGAACACGACGGCGGAGCGAAAATGCGCGTCCCCCTCAATTCTTCAGTTCACACGCTTATCTTGAATCCTCCCGTTCTCGCTAGTAACAAATCGGTTGAATTACAAGTATACAAATTCATCTTCCCGCTAAGGTGAAAATTATCGTGTACAATATCCAGTGACGGCTCTTATCAGCTTTTGCCAGTTGCTTACCGTCCGAGTCTTCAATATGTTTCTTCGCACGAATCAACTCTCAAATTTCTCGGAGATTCGTACTTAGCGAAGGCAGGCTTTCCGTCGATGGGCGTATTGATCATCACTCGTCGATCGTTTTTCGTAGGGAGCGAACGCAACACAAGATGGCTCGCGTTATCGCGTGAGAGCCTATTGATACGCCGCGGATCGCGTCGAGAAAGTGCCGCAGAGGCTCGATAGGCACGGTGTTTACGTTTGCTCAAGTTAACGTGCATAAACAGTACGGTGAGAAAAAATGGTTTCGGTATTTTCGTAGCTATGATTGCATAAGTGAAAGAATTATAGTTAGGAAAACCATTTTTCCAATAAGTGGTTACTGTAAGTAGGGATAACCACTTTGCATATCGCGACCATGCATATTGCTATAAAAAATGAATAGCCTTAGTAGGTGCCATGCGGGATCGAGTGACTCTCGACGAAAAGGCGTGTCAAGAGACGCACCACTTGATCTCACCCTGCCTCTTGACCTTCTTAGACAACACACATCGTCGTCGGTTCGTTCTCTTTCATCGGTAAATCACAGTGAGATCGCGCTACTTGAGATTCCGCTCCCATACTGTATCCCACCAAGTCTAGCGTGCACCCGAGAACCGGCTTCACCGGCAGCTTGGCCGTTTTAGGCGCGGCGCAGCGCCATTTCTTCCGCGAAAATGAAAAGTGGTCGCGCGCTCGATCTCGCGCACGGTATCCGAGAAGCGCGACTGTGTTTTGCCAGCGTGAACTCTGCGCGGAGAGACCACAGGGAATTCTCGAGGCACCGGCCGCGTGACGGCGGCGACGCGAGAGATCGGACGGACGGCTCCCACGATCCGGCCTGTCGCACCCGGTCAGCCGCCTTCAGACTCCGAAGAATCAAACGCGTCCGCAGCCTTGTAAGGATGCGGCCTGGCATTAGCGTCGGATGACAGAAATGGCTTTATAGCTGACGCGTAGATGAAGAAAGTCGATAATGGCCGGATCGGATCGATGTCCTTCCTTAGGTCCGTGGCTGGATCAAGGTCGACCGAGAGCCGCTCGAAAGTGGTTAAGCCGGATAAGAACCATAAGCTATTTAATTTACCAACGAACTTCACACCTATCATCGGCTTGCGCGTTTCAGAGACGAAGAAGAGCAGGTATGTTCGAATGCGCGGTCAGGATAGGGATCTCACGAGGAGAAAGGTGATTTTTGTATTTCTAACTGTAATCGTATGATATAATATAAAAGAATTAACAGCTAAGGGAACCCTATTTATATAATTTAATATTGTTATAATCACTATATATTTACAATACTATTTTAATTACTATATATTAATAATATCATTATAATTTAATATAATATTTATGTATAATTTTAGCGGGATTTCTCTCAGCGCACCTTACTAAGGTGTGGCGGCGGCAGAAGGAAGAAACGGGCGGAGCGGAAGAGACCGGGGAGAGTCCGGTATCGCGAACAGATCTCCCGTGTCTCGTAGCTGCTTTATCCGCGACAGGATCTCGGGGGAGCGCGACACCTCCGCCGATGATGCTCGCGCGTGTTACGGCGCGTTTCACAGTTTGTCGGCGACAACTTGAGCGGCGATTCGCGATAATGAACGGTTGGCGGAGGACGGATCCCGACCGC